GGGGGCGGAACCACCACCAGCACAAAACTAACCACATTATTTGTCAGGGCTGGCATATCCAGTATGTTCAGGCACTAACAGAAAGAAAAAAAGAATAACTAGGATAGCAGAGTACAGCAAAGTCATAAGGAAAGAAGTATAGATACCACACGTTTTTCCCAATCATAGCCAAGAAAGACAAGTGCTTTTCTATCACAAATGATACGAAAGCCTTTATTGGACATAAACATCTCTAAGGATGTAGTTCCTTTCCTAATCAAATGATCATTTTGATTATTTTCTTTAAGCTTATCCCAGTTTGTTTTTCAGTTAAACAGTGCTTTTGTTTTCAGTACTAGCGGGGCAGTGTCTCTTTCCTCCCACCCCCAAATGTCAGGAGGTGAACTGCTGAGTTCTAGAGCTGAAATAAAGATTCCATTTGTTAGGTTACCATTGTCTAGTGCTGTACATTTGTCATTTAATAGCAATAGTGGAGTAGTGGCTCCGGACCATACGTACGTTAAATGACTTGGTAGTGAAAACTAGAGAAGTCATGAATGGACTCCTGTTTTCCCTTAAACAGGAGCGCTCAGAAATATATGATACCACCACCAGCAATATATGATTACTGCATGTGTTACAGCGTGGACTGTCATACTCAGAATAGAGGACTGGATTTGGCAAGCTTTAGGAATTTAGAAAATGCTCAGGCAATAGGGCAAGGCTTGTTTTCCTTTCTCAAAGGAACCTGCCAGTGTCTAGCCACTGATTGATGATTTCGGCCTCAGCTACAGCGTATGTGATGGTAGACTTCAAACCATCAATTAAATCTTGCTTCCTCCTAGGTGTTCCCAAGTCTTCTCAGTCTCAAGGAAGCACCAATAGAGAGTTATTTTGTTTAAGTCAAAGCAGAAATGTACAGAACCAGAGAAGTCGGGGTTCTCTAAGCAGAAGCATAAAACTGGTAACAGCGTAGACAAAACTAAAGACATCCAGAGTTCATCAATAGAACTTTGGCTCTTTTCTGTTTCTGTCAAATGAGTGACTTTATGTAGTGATTCATGTTTTTCTTCAGATGACTTTTACCTTTTACTTTTCTCTCAGTGTTATTGACAACATTTTTATTATAATTTTTCACAGCCCACTTAAGAATCCAGTCTTCACAACTTCTGTGGCTCACACATAGTCACACATTCAAAAGCAACTGTGTATGTTTGTGTTTCAGAGCAGTGTTGAAATCTGATCGCATTTACAGTAGTGAGCTCAAGTACTATTCATGACAACTGTAGTTATGTTCTCTTAACCAGAATATCTTCTCACTAGGGTAAATAACCTAAAGCCAGGCTCTGTGCTATGATAGTAAGACTCTCTTTTCCTAAACTGAGCTAAATATACCTTTAAGGTTCCTACATCTGTGCTTCAATGAGCACTTTAAACCCAGGATAAGCCGGAACAGCAACTAGGGAGCCTAGCCTCCCTTTGTCCAGCTCTCTTGTTCCTACCCTTGTGCCATCTCCCATGTGCCCAGACAAGCGTTTCTGTGACTGTGTGGTAAGCCAAAGGGGGAAACTGATTGATCCATCTGAAAATTAATCCAGTATGAGAAAGAAAAAAGATTTAACTGGATCACTTCTCCCATGTAGTTCACTGTGAAGCTATGCAAAAGCTTTGTCAACCAAAGAGAAGGATGGAAAGTGGCACAACCACAGCGCACTCTTAACATCCAGAGACTGACAGTCATAAGGACTTAGGTGTATAGATGACAGAAACTATTTCCAGATTTTTGTGCCTGGTTCTTTAGAAAGAGACAAATTTGTTCTCTTTTTCCTCCCCTCTTAAACTCAGCCAGCCATGTGTTGAAGGGAAGGTTGTGGAAGCTAACGCTTCTGTTCCTGGACCTTTTGAAGACATTTGCTTAGGCCTATGCCAGCTGGCTTATGTAATGGCTGAAAGGTTCCCTATTTGGCACCTTTAGAAATCAGGCAGAAGGATGTCACTTTGAACACACAAAATCAGAAGCACGCAGTGCTACTTGGCACTCAGAAAAGGTAACAGCACATTTGCTATATTCGTAGCCATGCTGAGACATAGAGAGAATTGGAATTTGCGTGTCTCAAAAAGCCCTGGACTGCAGCTAGATACAATTCCCATCTTCCGTAGTGTCTCTGAATTTCTCACCACCTCTAAGAGAAGAGTAGAATTGACAGGAAACTGATATGAGTCTGTCTGTCAGAAGAGATAGAAAAATAAGCTCCCATCTCTTTCCCTCATCTATCTATCTAGCTATCAGAGACAGAGATACGGCTCCTGGCTCTCTGTCTGTCAAATACATTATGAAAGCAATTATGTCTCAAGCACAGCTCTGGCTTTGCTGAATGAATCTGTCAAGAGGGAACAGACTGCCTGGAGTGTTTTGTACGCAGCTCTTGGCACTAAAAGGTCAGCATACGTGGGGGGGGGGGGGGGGGTGTATTTTTTTTTAAGGCAGTTTACTGAATTGCAGACGTGATATTTGAAATCCAGATTTCTGTGTTGTGTGGCTTGCCATTTGGATCTCCTGTTCCATTTAGCATTGATTTACTCATCTCATTCTTAAAGGGAAGGCCCTTTCAATATCAATTTACAACCAGAAGTTCTTTTAAAACTTTGTGATGTTTGTCTTTACTGGATTGCAGAAAGGAGAAGAAGTCAGAAACCTGAAACATTACTGGTACACGTCTTGGCCAGACCAGAAGACACCAGATCAAGCCCCCCCTCTGTTACAGCTAGTACTGGAAGTGGAAGAGGCAATGCAGAGTGCAGAAGAGAAGAATGCCCCAGTGATTGTTCACTGCAGGTAAATAAATGTTGTATCTGACTTCTAAGGGCTTCTTTGCATACAGTGGCATAGTGCAGATACTGTCATATTGGCCATCAGTTAGACATGAGGGAGATCTTGCCCAACTGCTTCTGAAATATGCTTGGAACTTCTAAAATTTAGTGACAATAATTTTCCGTTACCAAGAATTGCATTCAGATACAGGCTGAGCTGAACACGGAAGCTGGTGGTGGCACAGTTACAAGTAAGAACAGTCTCATTTTATTTGCCTTACCAGTAATATATGCCTTTAACGATCTTAAAAGGGCCAGGTTACCAAAGATTAACATACTGTGAGTGAAATTAAGTAGGAGACACATGCAAGCAGAAAAATGAGAACATTCAACTTTAAGCCTCAAAACCCCCTGTTTTATAGATTCCTTCTTCGATTTTAAAAAATCCTCATTAGGCCAAAGACAATAATTTAAGTGTAATACATAAAACAAATGAAACGGTGGCAAAGCTGATTGCAGCAAGTACTAATCAACAGACAGGAAATGTATGCAATTGATAGTAAAACTGAAATATCCATGAAAAGCCACTGGCAAAGATGAAAACTTATATGGAAGAAGCAAAATCTTTACAGTGGTTTGAAGCCTGATGACAAAATTGTAATTATCAATCACAGAGCAGAAAAAATAGATGAAGATACTTCTCTTCTGTCTTCAGAAAGAAGTAAGATGATGTACTTATCACTTGTAGAAATGATGAATGTCTAACTAGGGAATGTGTTAAGCAACAACTACTAACCATTATTAAATCAGCTATACTGGATGATTTTCACCCAAGAGTGTTTTAAAAAATTGGTCCACAGGCTCTAAACCATTAAAGTTTAGTATAGCTGAGTTCTAGTTCTTGGAAAATTTGAGAAGTTCCAGAGGTCTGAAAGCAAGTCCTGTTTTGCCAGTGTTTAGAAAGGTTAAATGTGATTGCTGGAAAGCTGCAAGTCAGTTCTCAAAACAATTATTCCAGGTAAATAGCAGAAAGTCTGATAAGCGATGCAGTAATCTCGCCAGGGTAATCTTCCATAATTTCAATAAAATACATTGTTCCAAATTGATCTTTGGGATTTTTGTAAGGAATTTTACCTAGTTTCGCATAACATTTTCTAGGAACTGGCAGATGGTTGCTATCCAGAAACCATAGTAAATGGGGTATTTCATACAATGGGGATGTTTTTAAAGAGACTCTTGGCATGAATGGTTGGTAGCCCAGTGTCATCAAAGATCCACCTATAAGCTAATACGGAGTAATCGCTGGTAAAATGTTCATATGATGCCACATGTCCAGTTTTTCTGCCTGTGTTTTAAAACAGATTTTGACAAATTGGGGATCGTTCAGAGAAAAATAACAAATGGTTTGTAAGAAGGTCCCCTTTGCCCTTGGAAATCTGTGACTCTCTAAGAGCTCCTTGAAGTATTATGTATTTGCTGCAGGTAAAGATTCTGGTCACCATGTCACTCTTGCTTTGCATACTTGTTTTGTCCTCTTGTATGGTGTCATCCCCATGACACAGTAATAATTTTGGGGGAAATGGGATATTTTTATTTGAAATAACTACTAAGAGACATGGTGATAGGATTATGAAGTATTTTATGTGATAACTGTGGACCAGAGCCCTTTCAGATTATTCTCAGTTGCAGTCATTTTATCTGAAGAAGGAATTTAATATGTTGCCTCTATTTGAGAGTGGTATATGCAGCAAGCCATTAGCCAAGGCCTGTGTTACGCTGAGTACTGTAGCTCCTTTGGCCTTTGTAGGAGATCCTCGGTAGAACATAATCACTGTGGTTTTGTCCTTCAGTGATATAAAATAACGCACCTTTAAGAAAAAATAGATACAAACCTAATAATGAAGCTATTAGAATCATAGAATAGTTTGGGTTGGAAAGGGACCTTTAAAGGTCATCTAGTCCAACCCCCCTGCCATGGGCAGGGACATCTTCAACTAGATCAGGTTGCTCAGAGCCCCGTCCAGCCTGACCTTGAATGTTTCCAGGGGTGGGGCATCTGCCACCTTTCCGGGCAACCTCTTCCACTGTTTCACCACCCTCATCGTAAAAAATTTCTTCCTTATATCTAGTCTGAATCTACCCTCTTTTAGTTTAAAACCACTACCCCTTGTCTTATTGCAACAGGCCCTGCTAAAAAGTCTGTCCCCATCTTTCTTATAAGCCCCCTTTAAGTACTGATAGGCTGCAATAAGATCTTCCAGGAGCCTTCTCTTCTCCAGGCTAAACAACCCCAATTCTCTCAGCCTGTCCTCATAGGAGAGGTGTTCCATCCCTCTGATCTTTGTTGTGGCCCTATTCTTAAAAGCAGTGTCATGTTAAAGGCAGGCTAGCAGTCCTGTTAAGGTCCTGTGGATAATGCACCACTCTTGGGCAGTCTTGGAAGGATTATGACTTTGCCTCAGCCACTGAGAGACCTGCAGCTTGTCCTGGGACAAGTGCTGTCTCAGTGCTGTTTGCTTTACATCTAAAAATGGGTGTTGCACCCATCTAAAAATCAGTGTTGTTCGCTCCGTTTGCAAAACACTCTGAGGTCTATGGACAGGAAACAGTATACAAGCGCTGTGTACTGTAGCCTGTTTGGTTATGGCATAAATTGGAAGACAAAGGGCTTTTTTTTTTTTTAACCATTGATGTACATCCACAGCAGAGAGTCCTCTGAAACCCTGAAATATTTGAAGTATTGATGAACAAACTAGATACAGTAAAGAAAACAGAGTCAGGGCATGAGGTACAAAGAGTTTCAGGGACAAAAATTTTAAGTCAGGTAGGTACCTCCATCACAATTATTTGAAGACTGAAGTGAATTCTTAGTGAGTAAGATCATCCCCCAAACTTCCATTGAATTGCCTTGATCATTCTGTAATAGAAGTTAAAACAATTCCAATGTAGCTGTTTCCCTAACGAGCATAAATGCCCAGTGAAAAACCTGTCTATAAAGTGAAAGAAACAGTATTAGGACTTTGTGAGCAGCAGCTAACTGCAAACTCCATTGTTGCTTGTACATTTGTTGCCAGTGTTTTTGTATTATGACTTTAGCACAGTTTAAATGGAAGCAGGCTTTCTTGCAGTTGTCAAGTAATTATTCCTGAGGATGCTCACTTAATTATTTAACGCATAAGAAGGGTTGTCAGCTTTTGCTGCTAGCTTTTTATTAGGTGATAAGAATTCACAACTTTGATAGCACTGTGCCTTTGAGAATAAAATCAATGCTGGTCATTAAGCAAGGACGGAATCAGATACAAAGGCGTTCAGGGAAGACAAAGAAATTTCTTTAATAGTGAATTTGTTGTATCCTGCACTAATTCAGAGAATTACTAGATTGCAGATCTGATCAGCAAATGGCATCACACTTACCATATTGTTGTTAGCTCAAATTATTTAAGCAAGGGATTTGTTGGTTTCTTTTACTGTACCTGTGAATGAAAATAGCTTTCGAAGAAGCTATTAGGATTAAGAATCTCAAAGCAAAGGTTGCCTTCAAAGCAAGTCTAACTAAGAAATACTGTTTAACTGCTTATTTTCAATGGTTCAATGACATATCGGGTCAAATGGTACCCAACAGTCCATTTTTAGCACTGTATGTGCAATGTCCATCCTTTTGCTGCAGGTGGCTCACACTTAATTGTGTTGTCCTATTGAAGTTAGTATCTTTTCCTAGTTATGGCTTTATATTCGCAAGCACCAGCTGGCAAAGGTTGGAGGGAAGAAAGGGATAATGGGGTTTGATTGCTGGTTTAATGACACTCATTTAATGAGAAAGTTCCAAAGCCATTCTAACATCTCCACTGCCTCTCTCTGCTTTTCCTTCCCTTAGTGCAGGCATCGGGAGGACTGGCTGCTTTATTGCAACTAGTGTCTGTTGTAAACAGCTGAAGAGCGAGGGCATTGTTGACATACTGCGGACAGCCTGCCAGTTACGGTTAGACAGGTAAGAAAGCCTGTTTCCTTTCCAGGAAAAAAAAAAAAGGTAATCTTTCCCATTACTTAAGGAGAAACAAATGGGAACAGGGGAGGAACAAAGGCCAAGAGAGAACGTTCCTGGAAGGAAGCTGTCCTGTTCTAAGCAGTTCCGACTTGTAATCTTTGCCTATTTTATGAGCAGTAAACCTTAATGAACAGCCCTAGAACTGAGCTAGATTCACAGCTGGCATCAAAATCTGCACAGCTGTGCAGCTGCACAGCTCAGTGCAGCAAGGGATGACCTTTCACCAGCTGAGAGTTGGCACCATGTTCTTACAGAAGCAAAGGCTCAAAGGTCTGCTGTACTTAAGATCAGAGCCACAGATCAGCACTTTGCTCCCAGGAGTAAAGAAAACTGGCCTTGCATAGTTGGAGCTGTGAGCACAGTTGGGAGGGCATGGCTGCTTGGGACTTTGTGGGGAGAGGGAAAGTATGCAGTCTGGAGTGTTTGCAGACATATGAAGAGAGCTGTGAAAATCTCCAGAAATTCAATGGTTTCTAGTTAAGCATTTCTTAACACACCACCTTGAGTTTGATTATGAAGTAAACAGACTTGAATTTTGTACCAGAGATGTTATTTTTCCTCTCCCACTGGTTTCAAGTGCCATCAAAACATGTCTCAGTGCTCTCTCTAATGATAAATGTAGTCGGGGGAAGAGATGTCACGAAAAACATACCAAAGATTTTTCTGAGGAAAAAAAAGAACCTCAACCCCACGCTGAACTTTATTTCAGAGGAGAAATTATGCTCAGTGGGAGGCAGAAAATGAAATGCTTGCTGCCCTGCTGAGGCTCTGATAGACAGGGACCTGCAGGGGCTTGGAGGTTTGGCTATTTCAGTGGATTTCAGGCCAGACAAGGAAAGGCTTCTTGAGGAAAAAGAAAACCAGAATATGAGTAGTGAGTGCTGATTATCCATGGCCCGGTGAAATACCTGGCTGGATCTGAAATATCTTGTCTCTGTGACTAATGTTACACAGGAAAATAGCCATACAAGTGCAGGTTGAAGACACGTGCTTACAAATGTGCTTGATACAGAAGGCCAATTAAAAATACTAGCTTTGCAGGGAGAGGGGAACTAGCAGTCATTTGCAGAGGCTGGAGAAGGGAGATCACACTTAAAGGATGCCATGGAGGAAAAGGAAGCCTGCAGGGACCTCTGTAGCTGCCATGTACCTCTCAGGGGTGGGATGGGATAGGAAAAGGCCATTTAAATGTCAGGGGAGAAAATACTCAAGATGGAAAGCAGTCAAATCACCGTCCTTGATACAGAAGAGCATGGTTTCTTCAAGGAGTGAAAAATGGGGCTCATAGTCTCTTGGAAGTCATGCTTCCATCCACTAAACCCCCACAAAAGCTCCATGTGACTTCAAAAGCAGCATGAGAGGATGAGACAGTGTCCAAGCAGCTATAGGAAGGAAGACCCTCTCTGTCTCCTCCTCCTGTCTGGTGATTACTAGCTAAAGAAAATAGGGTGGATGGGAAGGAGTCACCAGGGACTTGGGGAAAGAGGGTTGGATGCAGGCCAGAGCAGACACGTAAAAGAATGCCCCTCGCTGCTTCACAGCAGTAGAGGGGTTGACATTAGCCCTGAGAACCACCTTTGAAATTGCTGTGGGGGTGAAGGCGACAAATGTTTCTTTCCCTTCATTCCCTTACACATCCCTTAGAAAAATCCTGTGCACTGGGCTTTGCACCAGTGGTCAACAGTTGGTCCTAAAATAACCTAGTATGACTAAGGGGAGGAAGTGATCATTCCTGCATCCTTCCCACAGTGCTGAGAGACATTTGCTGTCCTTTCCCACAATACAACTCAGATTTGAAAGGTTTCTGTGGCAAATAGGGATGAAAACATAATTTCTCTATTCTGTGCCAAAGCCTGGACAGCAAGCACATGTCATGGTGTGCATGTGTGTGGGAAGGGGAGAAAGCCACCACATAGCAGGGAACCAGATAAAAAGGAAAATCATCTCCTGCAGTCTGAAACTTGATGGCCACCCTAGTGCTTCTGTTGCTACAACTTCAGGGTGCAACCTCACTGTTAATGGAATTGCATGGGGAGTAATCGCCAGATATGACTAACGTTCCTTGTGTGTCATGAACTGACATAAATATATTTCAATACTGTGTGCAGCACAGAAGGACTCAGAAACAGATCAACTGTGAGCCTGTATTAAGTAGAGCAGATGGGGAGGAGATGCTCAGCTAGGAAATAGTTTCTTTAGAAATGCAGTGTGTGTTTCCCACCTTTGCTTATTGATGAGAGGTTGAAGCATGGGTCCCTGCCCTTCCCTGCTCATTGTTATTTCAAACAGCCACTTAAAATAACTGTAAGAGGCTGAAGGAGGAGGTTGTCTTGTCCACTCATCTACCTCTTACTGGCATGGTTACTGTGTGACCCACAATTGTTAAGCTGGACCCCATAGAAGAGGGCAGTCCCCATGGAGGTTGCTAGCAGCCTGCTATCTGTTTGGCTCAGAGGAAGCAACTTTTCATTAATGTCCTCTGGTGGAGGTTTCTGAGGGAATGCACCACATATGCTCTTCCTCAGACTGACACAGTCTGGTTGGCGCTGGCCACCCGCAGGTTCCGGTGTTCCTCAACGCTGCTTGTCTTTTCAGCTTCCTTTTGGCACTGCGTTCCCGGGATTTGTGCACCAGCACCAGTGCTGGCACAATTCAGCATACACCTTCTGTGAATTTGAGCCATGGGGTTTAATTATTTTCATAATGGGTTATCAAGAGATCATATCACTGTTGTTGAGGTACTCTTAGCAGAATTTTAAGTGTTAGTAAAATCTACTTAAAATGGACAACGTTATCCTTGTTCTTTTTGTTCATTTCTGTCTCCCAATGTAGTACTCGTGTTGATTAATATGCTACTTGCAGAAATACACAGGCTGATACATGGAAAAGCAAACTGTTTCTGCTCCTGCTTGCATTTCCTTTCAGGTTTGCAGTTTTAAAGAGAACAGCAAAAGCTGAAATAAAAGCTGAGCCAAAACAGATTTATGTGCTGGGAGTCTTTTACTGATCGAGGTGTGCACGGCAGTCAATTCAGTTACAAATCTGAGTTGTCTTTTGTTAAAGGTCCATTGTCTCTTCCAAAATCCTGCTGGCCTTCCCCTTGTTCCCTGGTGAGCTTGCCAAAAGCACAGCATGGGATGGCACGGAGGAAAGAACCCTCATTCCAGAATGGGAAAGCTGTGTGGTACATCAGTTGTCTGGGCTGGCCTCGCCCGGCCTTCTGTAGTCCTGAATTCAGTCCCTAGTGCAGCTGTGAAATCTTGGATAAGCTACTTCCCCTCTTTATTCCCCCTGCTCCCATCTATCCGTCTAGAGCTTTGGGGTGGGGGGTTCTTTTCATGGTGCTTAAAATGGTGCTTGGAGTATGTGTGCTCCAGTAATATGAATGTAAATGATGATGGTGTTGCCTTACTGGATGAGGGCCTCTGCCAAGAAAAATGAAGGTAAAGCCCATTCCTGTTCTGACTAACTTCTGTTCCTTGGTTAGCAGAGACTTTCAAAATAGAGCTCGAGGTCAGACTGCGAGCTGGTTGCAATCAGTGGGCACTTTTCACTCATTTCAGGAAGCTTTGGAATAGGCCTTCTGTGTGTAACACCAGCTTCATGTTAGCTATGCCATTTCCTCATATGTTATTTGCATGTAATAAAGGCTGCTGTTTCCCTCCCCTTTTTTTTCTTTCCTTTTCAGGGGAGGAATGATCCAGACTTGTGAACAGTATCAATTTGTCCATCATGTCATGAGCTTGTATGGAAAACAGCTTTCTAGAGCAGCAGAAGAATAAGTGGTCATGATATTCCTAAAGGCTAAAACCAAGAGAACTTTTGACTGCATTCAGATATATTTCAGATCTGATAAGAGACACATGGTAACCTGGCTGTCTTAGCTGGAAAGATATTTTACTTTGATATTGCTTTTACGCTCTTGTTTGCATTGACATTTAAGAGCTGAGGTACGCCTTGTCTTAAACATATGTGACAGGACATAATCTTCACCAAAAAAGGCTTATTTATACTGTAAATAAGAATAGTAGCTTCATTTGTTACAAAAGCAAGAAAAAAAAATCAAAAAATCCACTGTCTTCAGTTTGCTGTTTTTAAAAAAATCATTGCTAATATATCCAAATAGAGTGTGGAACTTTTTGAATTGTCATGCTGAAATGTGCCGTACGTTGACTAAGCTTGAAAGTAACTTTTTGCCTCTTTCTGATTGTTTTTACATATAAAATTACCGAATACTGTGTATATCGTAAACCTTCTGAGCATCTGCGTTGAAAGATTCAAGTAGATTCACATTGAAATGATGTTTCACACATCACGTTTGCTTGATTATTTTTCCTAAAGCAGTCCACCACCAGTGTTATCAGAACTAAGGGGAAAAAAATATTTCAATGATGTGAGTCAAATTCTTACCTCCAATTCTTACCAGCAGTGTATCCCAGTATCATGACAGCTGGGTGAATCTGAGGTGAATAGTAGAAGTTAATCTGAACATAAATTCTTCACGCTTTACCTTTTCTTTGTCAATATTTTGGCACCTCAGTCTGCAACCAGATTTGATTTTTGCAAAGTTTCTCTTTTTATGTAGTCAGACCACAATCCGAATACAATTTCCCCTGAAATTTGAGGTTTGAAATCAGGTGAGGAATTTTGTGAGTTGAATTCATCTTTATTAAAAATGTAATAATAAAATAACTTGTATTCTATGAATTTAAACTTGTTTTCAAAGCTTTGAGGATGACCGGGTGCCCAGCGCTCATTAAAATTAACAGAAATCCTGTAGGCAGCTTTAAAAAAAAAAGACTCTGAGCGTGTTGGCTGCTTTTTGATAAATTTGCCCTCAAACCAAATTTAGACAATCATTATCCCATTCTAATCACTAGTCCGGGCAGCAGTGTTTGCTTTTCAATGATACAAACTGCTGCCCAAGCTTTTCTTTTTAGATTTCAGTCAGGCTGTGAAGACTGTAGTTTGTGTTTAATGCTTAGAGGTAAGCACGTGTTTAAGTGCTTTATTGAGCAGAGAAAAATGGAGGTACGCAGGACCCTTAACATGAAAGATGAGTGTTTTGTGAATAGAAGCTGTAATGATACACTAAAAATATTTTTGCTTCTCTTTATTTGTAACAATAACCAAAACCCACCACTTTTATTAGTGCAGGAGATTCTGAGAATTTACTGCACTTCCTAATCAGGAGAAGGTAAAGCAGCTCTCAGAACAATAAGGGCTGATCCTGTTCCCACTGAGGTTTTGCCATTGACGTCAGTAGGTGCAGGATGTAGGGCCTGAAATGTTACGCCTACAATTTCATCACTGTGGGGAAAGTTTCCCAGTATTTCAGTACACATCCATTGTGTTTATTCTGTATCCATGAACCTGTAAAAATCCTGTCAGCAGGGTTTGCATGAATGTGTGGCAAAATGTGTTATCTTTAAACCACTTGATTTTATTGCTGTATTTAAAATATTTCCTTCAGTGAGAAGCTAGCAGGAAGAACTGGCATTCTTTTTAGAAATACTGGTGGTACTCATTAAATAGAGCAATAAACTTAAGCTATTGAGCATAACATGACTGTTAGTTTTATGTAAAGCTTGCTAGCTATATTCTCCCCATTGCTACTGATTCTTTCGAAGGGGTAACACTGTTCCATCTAAGCACTCCTTAGAAATAACAAAAGCACCACTGATGTTCTGAATAACATTGTAAGTGGAACTCCCTATAAATGATGTTTTCAGCTGTTCAGTGCCCTTCAGTGTCAAAACTGACTCAGTGAATAAAATTACTTATTCTGTCATCAGCTGCCTGTGCATCTGCTAAAGAATATTTGTTGATGATTGATAGGAGTGTGCATATAGAAGCAAAGTTCAATGTATAAGTTGCCTTCTGTACAAGGAGCCTTTCTAGAGGAGAATTGCTTTATGGCAAACAAGGTATAAAGGGCTCTAAGATACTGACTTTGAGGTCCTTGCGCAGATCCTCAGCAGGTATCAGTTGGCAGTGCTTCTCTGACTTGAGTGGAAATGAACAATTTACACTGATAAAGGAAACCTAGCCTGCTGTCCACTCCCATTCTACATATGTGGAATGTCCTGAGAGAGTGGTCACTGATAAAATCAGGCTGCTTTGCATCAATTCACTAGTATAAAGCAAACGTCAGCCTAGTTGCACAGTCTGGTTATGAGGGCTGCGCTGCTGCCATTTCACACCAGGCAAGAGCATGCCACTTGGTCAGGATAAAATATTCAAATGCCTCTTGAAGCGTTATTTTGTCTAACAGATAATCCTCCTACTTACTCTTTGGCCTTACCATAATTAACATGTTTTTCTCTGTCTCTTTTTTCCTCTCTCTCTCTTTTTTTTTTTTTTTTTTTTTTAAATAGAATTTGAGGTT